TTGATTGTGGTATGGCGTATTGGAAATTAATAAATCCTGAGAAAGAATACGAACCATTATAGATATATCTGGTAATATACGTAAATGTAACGACTGCATCTTCATTTCGCAACGTTTCTGATATAAATGAAATTGAATCGACTTCGTTCGCGTGCGGAAGCCATGGATCTAAGAACCTATAAACGGAGCCCACGACGCGGGAATTACCAAATTTGCGGCAGATAGGCTCTATCTTTATAGAATATGCGGCGATCGAGTCTTTCCGTCGTATACTCTATGAATCTAGATAGACCATAGTTACATTCTATGCGCACTAACACCTACTTCGCGGCGTGCTGTCGAGTACTATGTATAAAAAAAAATAGCTATACAAGCTTTACCTATGTTCGGCTGTCCAAAGGTTGACATGTTCAAGAAAATCTTTTAATTTTGCGCCGCCTCCGAAAAGGTTGAAATGTATTTAATATACTACCTAACGAGTAAATAAGTTTCATTCATATCTGTTACGTAATTGTATGATTGAATGAAATAGAAATTACTTCATTAGGAAGTAGAAATTATTTTATACTTTTTAGTGCATTTCGAAGTCGGTGTATCTTTTTTCTTAAAATTATTTTATATTTCTTTAACTTATATGTCATTTCTATCAGTTATGAACGTGAGACTATTTAAGATTACTTAATAAATATACTGAAGGAAGAAGGCATGCAAATTCGAAACGGAAAGTACTTTTTTAAGGAATCTATTGGCTTTTTATATTTTTTGAAATTATGGTGCACCTCAACGAAGATTCTTAAAAATTAGTGAATATGCGCTACATGAACCTTCTTATTTCAAAATTTATTCAGAATGTTCGTACGAAATTAAATAGGAAAAATAGGCCTAAAACTGGAATTTCGATTTCAACCTTTTATTAATTCCACGCATAAGATAGAAGGTTAGACCCTTTATAAGTAATAATAATTGCGCAATTAATCCTGAAAAGTGACTGAAGATAAGGAAGAATATCTAACATTAGAGCCATTTTCAATTCGCTAGCTAGTTTCAGCTTCAGCCATTTTATTAATTTCTTTGATTTAAACTATGACTCTAAAAAGACTGACTTGTACGTTTCAGTAATATCCGATCATTGTCATTTCCTTTTTTGTCCCAAAGCGCTCAGCATAAGCGAGAAAAAGCAATGTAGATAATTTTGAAAATATAAATTCGATAAAATAATAAATATTAAGCTCGTTGAACTTTTTGAGAAAAATAAAGAACCGTAGTTTATTTATTTCTAATAAAATGTTGCAGATAACACTTATTAAAAAACGTATTTAACACTATATTTTCGAGGTGATATGAAGAGCAGTTCATTATTTCTCAGAAATATAAAGGTTGGAACTTCGTATGGTATTACATAGAAAAAATTGACATTTCTTTTTTGTAGAGAACTTCGTAAGTTATAAATTTCACAGTAACAACTTTCGCTGCATGGCTAATCAATAACTTTCCTTAAATTTGACCGCCTATGAAAGTATTGACAGAAGTTTCAACACTGTGAACTGGTAATGTAGTTCTTAAAACAGCGAAGTAAAAATCTACTTAAATATATCAACTTGGTTGCATTATTAGTTTAGCTAGAACCATCTAGCTGTGAAAGTTTCGAAATTTGCTATTCTTTTTTCGGTACACCATATTTCAACCAAAAATCTTTGAAGAATGCGCGGTGCGTTAGTTAATTCGAATGGCATTTTTAAATATTCATATCGTCTCAGAGGAATTATGAAAGCCGTAAATTTAATCGAAGTCTTGGTGAATGGTACATAGTGAATACCATTCGTCAAGTCCAATTTTGTAGAAACCGTTATATCGCAAAACAGATCTAGATAATCGTCAATAATTTGAACTAGAAAATTTTATAGAATAGTCATTTTATTAATTTCAGGGTAATCTATACATAACCGCATTTTTCCATTTTTCTTTCGCGTTAAAACAGTAGGGCCCGCGAATGGTTAATTACTGGACCTAATACTATTTTGTTTCAACAAGTTATCTAAAATAGTTCTTAATTTCTCCTTGTCGGCAAACAATAATCGGCGCGTTAATTAATGCGTTGTTGGGGTTGTCGATGACGTCACTCGGTGTCCGCAGAGATCTTGTCAGCTAGTAGGTTGAATTTTGCGGACAATCCTTAATCTGATGTGACATTCCGCATTTGAAACAACTACCACGCTCTCT